ATCGCGCACACACACAAGCGTGGGGGCTAAAAGTGCATATGGTTTGCATTGTTAAGTAGTGCATAGGAGAGGTAGTTGAAGTCTTTTGTGTTATATGATGTTGAATCTCTGAGGCCGCCAAATTAAATAACTAAATGTTTTTGTTTGTTTTGATTCTTGGGAATGCTTGAGGACAAGCAATATTTCAAGTTTGGGGTATTTGATGTGCATAAAATTTATCTATTTTTTTATATCCCTTTATGTGAGATTTTACCGATATTTTGGATACATTTCTGCTATGTGATATAATTTTATCTTTGTTTGTAGGAATTGTACTCCAATGAAGAATTATTGAAATTTTATGCTAAAATAGAGACAAAAGCAACTCAAAAGGGGCAGAATTGAAGATTATGAAAATTAACAATGCAGAAATTGAAGAACTTAGAGATTTGGAGGGCCAAAGATTAAATCATGGATTTGAGCTTTTGGGTTTGGCCGAGAGTGGTATCCTTGGAGAATTGATTTATTTTGACCAGTTTGGAGCCCAAATATCTTCACTTGGGCTGTCATCTTGCTACAAATAAAGAAAGGAAGCTGGATTCAATTAGTGAAGCCCAAGTGTTGCTATATTGCGGGAGTTTTGTAGCTGCTGTCCATTCTTGCCGAAGACAAAACCGCAAAAGTTTCAGCTTTGTGGCGGTGAGAAGGCAGCTTAATTTTCGGCAGAAATTGAATCCGACTTGGAGTGGGTAAATTATTTTAGTCTCTAAGAAATAGGATTTGGAAAAGTCTATAAAAGGAGAATTTTGTCCACCGAAAACACACACGACCAAACCAGAAAAAAAATCTGCCGCCGACCTGCCGTTGCACCATTGCTACCGCATACCACCAGCTTTGACTTCTTCTCTTTCGTACAACCCCAGCCCACCTGACAGCTTTCTCCATCACCAACCTGCTTCTAGTCTTTCACGCGCAGCAGCAGCATCAACAAACCATCATCTCCTTCGCACATCATCTTTACGCAGCCATCACCTCTCCATTACCTCGCGCATCAATTCAAAACCAAACCGGCAGCAGCCTCCTTGAGCTTCTTGCAGCCGAGAGAAACAGAAGTGTCCAAATCTGAAGCAACCAAGCAAGCAGCGGCAGTGACGACTTCGAGCTTATTTCTCACGGCTAGACTTCGGCGTGCATCGGTTCCGTTGTTTTGAATTTTAATTTTATTTCTGGAATTTAGTTCATGAACATTATCAATTGCATATTGTTTTTAATAATGTTTAGTGATTTAGGACTTGGATGTAGCCACCGAATTGCTTGGTTTATTTTGGTTCATAATATTTTGGCTTCTTTTATTGATTGATGTTTAATATTCTTGATTTAATTCGTATAAATAGTTGGTCATTATTTGTATGTTTAGAGGTTTTTAACTGAAGTGAAGACAGTTAAAGGTTAGCACTAGTCCATATGAATATTAAACTTAGAAAGTGAGCCACGACAGTAGGAGCATTGCGTTTGCAACTAATAATTTTTAAGATCGTAATGTGATTTAGTTATATTTTATAGTCACGACAGTAGTCATAGGATTAATTAGAGTAAGAGAATTATATCACAACGGTGAATAGTTCTTTATAGGTGAATTGTTGTGAGATTAATGAAAATTCAAAGCCAAATAATTGTGAGTTAAAATTGAGCCAAGTTTCAGTAGGTGAACTCAATGTCCTAGGTTTTCTTTGTCTGATTATCTGAATTAATATTATTTACTTTTATTTTATTTGTTTATTTTAGTTTTAAAGTTTATAACTGAAAATTGCTATTACTCTAAATAATAGTAAGAAGTGATTTATAATTGGTATTTAGTTTTTCTTTTATGTGAAACGATCATGCTTGTTACTGTGCTATTATTATTAGTGTTGAGTAGGTTAAATTGTATTTGATTAGCTTGACGACGACTCGTCAAGTGAAAATCGGGCGTATGTGAGGAGCAAAGACCAAAGACCAAAAAACTGAGGACCAAAGACAAGAGTGAAGTGCGAGCGTGTGTGAAGAGCAAAGACCAAATACCAAAGGCCAAAAGCCAAAGATCAAAAATCGAAAACTAAAGACCAAAGACCAGAGACCAGAGTGAAGAGCGACAATGAAAATCAAAGACTAAAGACCGAAGACCAAAGGCTAATGACTAGAGACGAAAGACCAGCTACTGAAGATCAGAGGTCAAAGACCAAAAAACGAAGACCAAAAACCGAAGACCAAAGGCCCAAGACCGAGAGCCGAAGACCAAAGACAAATGATCAAAGATTTAATAAAAAAATAAAAAAAATCAAAGGCCAAAGACCGAAGACCAAAGACCATAGTGAAAACCAAGCGTGTGTGAGGAGCAAACACCAAAGACTAAAAAACCAAAGACCGAAGAGCAAAGAGCAAAGACCAATGACGAAAGACCTAAGACCAAAGACCCAAGATCAGAGTTAAGAACGAACGTGTATGTGGAGGAAAGACCAAATACCAAAGACCAAAAACCAAAAATCAAAAACCAAAGATCAGTAGTACAAACAAGCATGACCAAAGTGTCTTTGAGGAAGACCAAGGCAAATATGTAAAAGACAAGACCCATAGCAACAAATAGAAAGACCAAACAGTTTCCAGGCAATAAGTAAGACCAGAGTGTCTTTCAATAAGACTAAGACAACTGAATAAATTTTTTAAAAGTTTCGAAAAACATATTCATGATAGATCTTGTTGGATAGATTTCGTTAAGTACTATTAAAATAATATAAGACATTTGGTATAATTCTTTACGGATTGAGAGACAAAATGATTTGAAGATTAAAGAATATTTTAAAATCCATTTCCTTAAATTAAGGAGTGGTGTGTGTGTTTCACTTTTTTTAAAAAATCAGATTTTGGGCTAAAAAAATGAAGAAGGCACGTGGTATCACTTAATAAGTGCATGTAGCTACAAACACTTAATGCTTATAATATAATAATTCTTCTGAATGATTATGTTTAATCTATGAGAGCATATTTAAAATTTCACTCAAAAGAAAAAATCATTAACTAAAAAGATGGGAACCAATTGAAAAAAAATGGTCATTTCGAAGGGATTATGTGGTTTTAGAGTTTTAGACATACATAGCAAATTTCTCAGCACTGAGAGAAATTATGACGTGAAAGCATTGGTGTGGAGCAGGGTGTAATGATATGTGGTTTGACTGATGAGCAAAACATGGTATTTGACAAGGTCATTAAGCAGTTTCAAAAAGCAAAGAAAGGGTTTTCTTGTACAAGTACAAAGGCATTGGAGAAATCTTCGTATGGTCTATTAGTAGCCTTACGTCATAAAGGTAAAAAAATTTTAATGTTTATTCTTATGGGATTCCTATATTTTTATTTATTTTTAATTGAATGACTCCAGTGAGAATCGAACCATCGACCTCTCAGTAATAATCATTCCATCTTAATTTCCTAATTACCCAATCCAACCCTCCTACCCAGTGGAATCCCTATACTTACTTCTAAGCAGCAATATAGTAGTGCATTTGAAGTTAGCCATACCAATAAATGCCACATATACTTTTTATTGTAACATAGACACTTGACAGTTAGTTGGTAGCTCTTTTTGAACGTAAGAAATTAATCATTTGGGAAGAAATCTCAAAGAACAAGTACGCTCATTACTTCTATTTGCAATGTCATATATCCAAATTTACTAACCAGCCTTGATATGCTAGATTTTTTTATGAAAGGGTTATTATTCTAGGTCCAAAAATGATAATGATAATAACTCTCTGAATGGCCATATGCACATAATGTTCATTGGGGAGGCAACGATACATTACACTTCTGAAAGTACTCAAGAGTCTGGCAACTCTGAAAATCCTATTGATAATATCAACATACCATGTATACTCTTGAGTTCCTTAATTCTATTTGGCTATGTCAAACCACAAATTGACATTAGATGCTGGGGTTTGAATCATCTTTTTCATAAACCTAGATCAAACTCGTTTTACTAAATTTCAAGGTAACTAGTTAGGGAAACGTCTCATCCAAATGACGATATTTTTTTGGAGAAAATATCGATGTGTTTCACCAGTTAGACAAAAGAATGCCAATGAAGATTAAGAGAAGCTAGTTTTTGTTAGTTGCGTGTTTAAGGATGATAACATATAAGAGTCAATAGCAATCCCTCTCGAAAGTGGGCATGTTTCTATGCCATCCAGAAACTGTATGGATATACTGCGATGACAATATAGAAACTTAATTTTGCACTTTCCGAATAAAATTGAAAGTATTTTCCTTAAGAAAAAATGATACAAATTCAAGTACACATTATAAACCCTATTCTCAATAGAAAACCAAATAACAATCACTGAAAGAAGAAAAGTTAGGGAGGTTTAAACGTGAGAAGAGTCCTAAAAGTTGACAACTGAAATCATGTATTTTAACCTTGTCAAGAAAACCAACAATGGAGTTTAAGGACATACTCAAATGTTGTACAATATTTCTAACTGGAAAAAAAAAAAAGTTTAATCACGAGGACAATTTCATTCTTTTTTTAAGCTCGGGCGAAAATTATTCCTCCCTCTGTCCCAATTTGAAATTTCAATTTTAGTACAATTTGAAGTACAAATAAAAACCCAAACTGACAATAATTATGAGATAGAGAGTATTTTTTTATTTTATTTTTGGTACAAAATAAATTTAAAATTTCAATATAATATTTAAAATACGTTATTCCTTACCTTTTAAAGTTAACAAAAGGATATAAAATCTAGCCATACAGATCAAACATATATAGATGTGACTCAGAATAATCTTAGTTAAGGTTGATCGTTTACTATTTGAACATTATATCTACACAAGAAGGTCTACAGAAATACTAAAATGGCACAAAGTATTAGAATGAGGTTGCAGCATTTCGGTCAGTGAATAGTGATGCACTAGCAAAACTTGAGCCCCTTGCCATAGCAGGCTCTAAATACAACAAAAGCATTTCCTCCTTGCTTCAATGCATGTATCATTCAGATTTCAGAGTCATCCACCTTCACCTGCGAATCATCATAAATGTAAATGAAGTACCTTGTAAGCAAATGAACTTGCAGATAATATTCACAAAAGTATTTTGTTTCGGTAGATTCTATTACATACCCACTATAAACCTCCTCATTTGAACTTCTACCACACAAAACTTATGTTTCGTTTGCTACTTAACATGCAGACTGAAATATAATCCTGATACATGAAAAATGCAACATATCCAGACTTCTGAGATAACAGATGAAACTTTCCAATATAAGTGAAGTTAAGCTTTTCTTGCAAATCTCAGTGATACCAAGTATAGCAAAGAAAATGCACAAGTTGATTGTCTCCTAGTCTGTTAACATCGGGAAAGTGTAGTACTGTAAGAAAATTCACCTAGACTCCAGACGTTCGACGGCTTTTTTCATTGTATGGAATGTCATCTTCTTCACCTGCGGCAAAAGGAGAGTGTTTTAAATGTTATGAAATCTCTAACTAGTGGATCCTTTTGACATGCATTCCATGAGAATGTTTAAAAAAGGGTTATAGTTTACTCAAAAACTGAAAATAAATTCATACAGTTTACTCAAAAATTGAAAATCCATACACATTGATGTGTGTGTGCTTGTGTGTGGTTAAGTGTGTGCTCGTGTGCGTGTAGGTAAGCATGCACATACCTCCAATTTGTCTTCCTTGGCTTTATGATTTTGAGGAAGTACACGAAACTCTTCGGACAAGCGTATGCACTGACCAACATTTTCAGGAGAAACAAAATCAAGTGCAACCTTTATGCATGACTGGAAAGCAAACACACAAAGGAAGCAGGGTTGATAAGTTAACAATATCTCCATTGAGCAACGAGTTCAACTGATAACTTTGCAAACACCTATACATTCAAAAAAATTTCAAAAAAAATGCTTTGCACACAAGAAAATAGTTTCACATCATGCACATAGGAGGTGACTGACCTAGAAAGAACTGATGAGTGATTTGGTTAGCAATACATTTGCATGATATAAGAGTACTTTCAAGTAAATAAAGAATTGAGATCAGTTCAGCAAGAATCACCTTTTAAGAAATCTACTATTCTTTCATTTTTACAGCAGGGGAAATGAAATGACAAAGCTTTGCATTTAACAAAAAAGAAATGACAAAGCTTTGCATTTGAAAGCAACAAAGCAATTCCATAGAAAGAAAACTTCTCTCATACAGGGTGATCAATACCAGAAATATGCAAATGCCATCAAACTGAAGGGCATTGCACTGGTCATTCCCATCCACTGCGAAATCTAAAGTTGCAGCCTTTATTACATCTATTGCCCCTTACACTCTTGATTTTATTTACCAATTACCGTCATAAAGCTTCCTCAACTTGAATAAGGTACTTCCCTCATTCAAAACCCTAGAATTCATTGATTTATAAAACTAAATGTCACTCTTTAAGACATTCAAAGATGACACGGATTCCAAGAGCAGAAAGAAAAAGTGCACTTTGTAAATCATAACCGAGACCGGGCATAAGGCAAGGTAAAACCCCAATAAATTTAGAAATGACACAAGGATGCTGAACACAAAAAAATGGTTACCCATTACACAAGATTCTGCAAACAGAAAAAAAAAAAAAAAAAGCTTGAGATGCGGCTTTACCTTCAAATTCCTCACTTGGTGGGGACACCCTGCAGGTATGAACACAGCATCCCCCAATCTTTGAACAAAAGTCCAAGGCTCCACACCTATCAATCAAATACAACTGTTAATAGAACTAACAGAGAGGATGCCATCAAACAGATACATTACCAAGCAAAAAGACCAACCAAATTCTTCCTTGAGCCTCCTCTTATGTTCCATGGTTAAGTACATACTTTGATCATGGATAGGATGAACCACCTGAATTATGATTTGAGTAAAAAAAAGGTTAGGATATGTCCACAAAATGCAGGAGATACAATAAGCTCTCTGCAGTAAAGGTAAAAAGATTGCACCGAATGCTACAGGAACAGAACAGATCTAGTTATATTTAAGTAATTTAGCTCAACTTTTGTCCAAAATTTCCATTCAAAACCTACGTCGTGGCAGAATAAGCTTCAATACCATCTCCATTTCAGGAAGATGGCATTGTTTACTTCAGAGATCTGTTTTGCTTTGCTGACTCAAAGAATTTTTGGATTTTAATGTCTATATATAGATCCTGCAGCTCTCTTGAACATGCATCGCATCATATAATTTGATGATTTCTCGTAATTATGAAGCATAAAAACAAAGAAATGAACAAATTTTCTTTTACTCAACTAGAGAGAAACAATCAAATCAAAGATCCACCATATTAAAGACAAAATAAAATATGTTCCTGTTACAGATGAAGAGAAATGAGATAAGAAATTAAATTGATCTGGCATTATATTGCATCAGGTCCATGGGAAAGGCACAGACCTATACAAACTACTGTTGAGCAGAAGACCAATTACTGACTCCTGTTACATATTCACATAGAGAGGAGATACATACAAGTGAAGAAAAGAGAGACCAGGAAAAGATACCAAAATCATGATGACCCTACTTCAACTAGATCTATTGGAGAAACCTGTAATATGATTAAAATAGATAATAACAAGAACCAGCAAGGCTAAGCACAATAGATCTATGAAACGCCAGAAAGCAAGAAACAAGAGACATGGTGATTGAACAACCTGTGTCAGAGGCTGGCAATATATATGCCTGAATTCCTTATGATGCTTCATCAGATATTGTTCTAATTTGGGCACATCCTCTCTCCTCCAGATGTCCCATAAAGCACCACTATCCAAGTCCGCAAACCCTTCAACAATTTCCTCACTCTTAATTTGTTGTTCCAACTTCCCAGTTGCATTTATTTCAGATTTACATGGAAAATCCCTGTCTACAGGTTGAGCATTAGGAGTTCGATCGACTTCCATTGCAGTAGAACTTTCACCATTGCCTATATCACGAATCCCATCAGTTGAGTGATCACTTCTCTGATTGTTTTGAGCTTCAATGACATCTGCGCTTTTTACTCTGCTGCTCTTGATACTACCTCTCGTCCCAGGTAGATAAGACATAACGTCAAGATCACTAATTTCGTCATCAAATGAATCATCACCATTATTCTCATCAATTTCACCAGGCTTTCCCTGCCTTGCTCCGTTTTCAAGTCCCTTATCATAGCCTTTGTCCACCAGATCAGATCCTCCAACATCTTTGATTTCGTCTATTCCATTGCTCTTATCTTTGGCTTTAGTTGGCACTTCAACCAAGGAATTGGATGTCTTTCCAGCTCTGATCAGCTCCTTTTCATCCTGTGCAGCATGTTTTAGTTTCAATTCCTCTATATTTGATAAGTTCTCAGGTGTTAGGACAACGGGTTCAGTATGGGTCAACACATTCACCTGAAATCAGCAGACTCATAAGAAGCTATTACATCACAAAGCATTATGACATAACAAAAATAAAAGATGGAAACAGTCATCTGAGATTTCGAATTCTGTATGTGACAAGAACGCTGCTTGATTAGTTTATCAAATTTGATAAAACATGGCCACACTTTTACTACAAGCATTAGTAGTTCTTGATTAGTTTTAAACCAAAATACACCATGGTAAAAGCAGCTTTTAGAGGCAAGAACGCAATGACTATTACCCTTGTATCCGGTCATTATGAAGTTAGCATTTTAAAGATCCAACTTCCAGTTTAATCCTCATGCAGACATTATGATTTCCTTCAAGAGTTAGCTCTTGAAGGACTGCAAGAGTCCATAACTGAAGTATATCACAATTTGCCATATTATCATTATTCCTGACACTGTGACTCTGTAACCTTTTAAGTATAAATCCGTAAACTCCCATAGCAACTTGGTGCGCGTGACTCTAAAAGGCTGTATCATTAAACACTACATTTCATTAGAAATTTAACCTAAAGGAAAGAGAACCGAGATAGTAAGTGTCCAAACTTGGTTCAAGCTTGAGAAAAGGTATATTAGAATAAAGCCAAGTTACAAGCTCGTCGGTCTATATCATAATATCAACAGTTCACAAGAGCCACCAAGAGTGTAAGACTCCAATAATATTTAGACCTCGAGTAGTTGTGGCTAAGCCAAGCTACAGCTCAATTACCTGGACTCATTCAAGCTGAACTCATTATTAACTTTTTCGGAACTCAGAGTCAGCTTGTTTGTGTGCAATATTCACTTTTCGAAACTCGTTAGGGAACCCGCTACTCCTCACTCTTCTAGCAAGGCCATTACTTAGATCTTGTTGCAGTAACAAAATGATAATGACATTTAATCCCTAAATACTATTTTGTGCTTAGTGATACTGAAACACAAATCTGCATGACAGCATAACTGTTGGAGGTAGACTGGCGATTAAAAACGATTTGAATCACCCCTAAGTTTTCCAGATAGCTACAGCCAACAAAGGTTGAGCAAGTTATAAAAAGATAAAAGGTTGTTTCACCAGACAAGTGATAATGAAGCTTTGTGATAGTCTAGAAAATAGACAGCATACCGCATCAGACAAATCACAGTGAAGCTTTGTGACTGAGTCCCCGCGTCCAAGTTCTTGTGTAACTCCATATGCAATATATGTTTTTGGCCCCAAGTCTGGTTTCAGAGATTTTTTGGGAAGTTTCGCGGCAAGATTTAAGTATCCTTTATGAGGATGAGTATAAACCTTAAAAGGCAAAGATTTAATGAATTCTGCATTATGACAGGGCAAACGCTCTCCAAACAAACTGGATGGAGGCCAATCTTTTAATTTTAAAATCTGGGGCCATCCTTGTTGGTCAAATCGCCCTTTTCTATAACCATCGAAGAACTGGTGTAGATTAATATCTACCTGCAAAATATGAATGAAATGAAAACATTAGTAAATAAAAGCTATTTTTGAAAAATCCACGTAGGTGAAAGCCGCAAAAAGTTTATGTTGACTTTGGACTAATAAACTCTCAAGACACAATCCCTGAGAGTTTACAGGGCTGAAACAGAATATAGACAATAATGTTTTAGTAACCGTAGAAGTAAGAACATGGTAAAGATCAGATCACAATCGGTAAGAGTGAAGTAAATACAAATAAAAATTTTCTATTTGGAATTCATTATAGAAGAAAATGGAAAATTCGAAAAGGAAGTTATAGAATTCATACAGGTTGGATAAATCGACAAAATACATCTTCAACACTTTGTGTTCCTCTATGATAGTAAAGTACAGTTCTTGAAACGTTGTGATCGTAAGTACCATTGAAATTAAAAAGAAAGTTTTGTAGAACTGAGATACAACCAACAATGGTTTACAGTTCGGGGTTTGGGTACTAAATTTGAAAGGAACAAAAAATGTACGTAGTAGAGATGAGAATGTTAAGATGAATGTGCGGGTATGCATGACTAGACAGGATTATAAATAAATGTATAGAATAGATAAAGATTAACATCAATAAATGAGAAAATGATAGGGGAGCGCTGAAGTTGGTCCCAGAATAGGCATAGGAGATAGCCAGACACTCCACTCAGACAAGCAGAAACTATGGAATCCCTAATTCAACTTAAAAGGGAAAGGAGCAGACCTATAAAGAATTTATTAAGTTAATATGAAGTTTATATATTTAGATGAATACAAGTGTGTCAAGGGTCGACTGAACACGATGACAACATATGATCCAATAAACTTGACCCCAAACGGTGAGATAAAGTTTGTTGTGGTTCCATGTACAAGGAAAACAATAAACACATCAGAAAAATTTTATGAAAGATCCTAAGTTTAAGATGATATGAGCCAAAAGTCAATGGAAACATACACATGATTGGCTTCATAAGGAAATAAGGTCCTAGCGGTCTAAGTGGATGTCTTAGAGGTCCAGGGATCAAATCTCATCCAGGGTATGTGAGGGGGTATTTCACACATTTATGAGTGGGCCCACAGGGTGGGGCTGTATTTTTAACAAAAAAAAGATAGGTTTTATATACATGATGAGATAGTGTACACAAATCTTACCATCCACATAAATCAGAGGAAAAAGAAACCTACTAAGGCAAACAACAATAACAAAAACAAAGCTTGAATTGGCAGAGACATTTGGTGCACATAGAATATCGTTATTAGAGGATATAAGAACAATAACAAAAACAAAGCCTTCATCATTTCACTACATGATCTAAAGGAAGACTTAATGATGGGGACAAGGAATGGTAGAAGAACCCTATCAGTAGGTTCTTCCATATTTGTGCCCAGGATTATCATGATCCAAGGAAGGAGCCAAAGTGTTAGGACTTTGGTTTAGTTAATCCTTTATTACGCAGTAATTTAATTAGTTTATTTCAGTATTAATATTTAGGAAAGGGTATTTTAGTATATTAGTTATGCTGCAGGATTTTCTTGGAATAAAAAGGAAATTAGGTGAGAATCCTAGTTGTCTTTGGTTTAGGTTAAGTTTTAGGCCTATATATATGTACCTCGTTTGAGGGTTTTAGACAGTTTATCAGATCAATAAAATTCTTGCAAGCTTTTGCTTTCAACAGTAGTTGTGTGACTCAACTAAACCCTTGGTGTGATGCCTAGGAATCCTGCGGTGTGATGCCAAATGGCCCTAAGAGTAATTCTTAGGTTTTCTTCTTCTTCCTACTGATTATCCCTGTTTTCCTGCTATTTCTACCCTTATTCCCGACAGTTTTCTATTTATTTTCCGCTGCATACTACTCTTTAATCAGCCTAAGGTCTGATTTTCATAACCACCATGTTTCGTGCTGCATCACTTAAATTCAAAAGGGGACAGAGGATTCAAGAAAAGACAAAAAGAAACTTATAAAAAGATCAACATCAACATCAGCATCAACATACCCCGTATATTCCCAACCAAGTTCTTTCTTGAATCCTCTGTCCCCTTTTGAATGATATCTAAAGATATACTGCCAACCGCCCCCATTATCATATAAATTTCAAAAGCTTAAAAACAAACAAAAACACATGTAGAAGAAATAGTACACACATCAGCAGAGTATTGATTTCTGGTAAATATCAATAGCTTCCCCGGGAAACTTAAGCATACTTTAAATGTTTCATTGATTGCACCAATCACTTCACAGTTCACATGATACAAATTAGTCAAAATCATGATTTAATTACAGCAAGGACCAAATTGAGAGAGAGAGAGAGAGAGGTACAAAGAGAATATTTCCCTAGGAGAAGAAAGCAAAAACATAATGAGAGAACTTAAATGGAATGGTACCACCCAACAAATGACATCTAATCCCAGAATCAACCAAGAAAATAACCTTAATAGATGACATGTTCAGGGAGCTATGAAGGACAAAGCTAACCTCGCACCAATCTAGGCAATTTAATGCAGTCACGTCCAAAAGAAGAGGATGGTTAACATTCCTTTTTTGGCCTGTCTCACGACAGGCCCGCCACATAACCATCGGTTCCCAGCTTAAACCAAATGTAGTTTCCAGCACATCCCTGACTATAACAGGTTCTCCTTTCATCCAATGCCACTGAAAATGTTTCAGGTCCTTGGGCTGAATTTCCACTGCTTTTGGACAGTATAAAAAGTTGTCATCAGAACCTCTTCGAGAAGCTGCTTTCCGCAGGTTACAACTGCTAGAACTGGGTTCTTTTAGGGATTTTGGACAAGAACAACATTGCTGAGAAATCTCATTAGCGTCTTCAACTTTATGTTTATTGGCCAATGCTTCAGCTCTTTTAACCAACTCAGAGACATAATTTTCTTCAAATGTACACCTCAGTTCCAAAGTCCCTTTTCCACAACCACCAAGCTCAGGTGGGGGGCAAGAAATGCTACCATCTTCATTACATTTCCAGTCACAAGCTAACTTCACATGATCTTCGGGATTATTTCCGTCCTCATTGCAAGGCTTCTCAGTACCAGCTTTAGAACTAGCTCTTCTAGGTGTCCCAGGGTTACCAAAACTCGATTTACATTTCTCCATACCATGCAAGTACTTGAATCCTGGATCTCTGAATTCTGGCACCTTCCCCTTATCACTACCTTGCAAACAACCAACTCTTATCTCTCGACAACAAGTAAGACAAAGATCATAAGAACAATAGGGGCAGCTCCGGTGATAATCAACAATGGAAGTTTTGCAGTTGTTGCTGCAGCAATATAAGAAAAACAATTATTTCACAACATACATCAACTAACAGAAGGTAAGAGATTGAATCGTGATACCTACCAAAATATCCTCTCATTTGCCTCACACTCAGACCGTTCTATGGTAATTTCTGAAATGGGCAAGGCTGCAAAACAAACACTGAACTAAGCACCAAATGTGGTCGAATGAATTTTACATTCTAGAGTTTTTGAAATACCCGTGTTCAACAAGACATCTGAATTTGTAGACTAGTCATTGAGTACAAACGTGAGTTATTCATGAGAAATGAAATAATAATAAAAAGGTGGCACGGCATTTTGAAGGACAAGATAATCATTCTGACTTAAGAATTTAATCACCAAGTTTACTAATGCCTACACTCAGCTTAAGCCAGATGCAAATTTAATCATGTCAATTAAGATTATGATCCCTGAATAAGTGTTAAGGCAACACTTACTTTAGTTTCCAAGAAATTGCAACATGTTTATAAATATATTATTAGTCCTCTTGTCCATTTTGATCATCCCCTCCCAAACGAGGAGTTATATGAATTCAATAAACACTAAGACTTACAACGAATATGCTACACTGTTTGATCCAAAGCACGAAGGATAATTACCTCTAAGCTTAGTTTCCATTTGCTTTTCCATCATCTGTTCTGCATTAAATTGTTTCATAAATGGTAAAAGCACACCTAGAAGATATTTTGCGTACTCAACCTTTTCTGAAGCAGTGTATTCCAATTTCAGCTGCTCATCCTACAGGATAACATATCCAAATTTTGTATGTGGGAAAAATCAGTCAACAACAAGAAGTATATATCCAACTTTGTGGGGGGCTGATTAGTCGAAATACAGTAAATATGCACTACGAAAGTTACTTTTATTGATGGGTCCACTCGCAAGCATGATTTACAGTTGCAGTTTTTGCGACAAAAAGGGCATGATTCAGCAAAATATTCCTCTGGGATGTGTGGATACCTGCGCAGTTGATATATGATTCACATGACCAATAACACACAGAGGCACAAATCTACAAATGCAGCCAATCAAAAATCAGTGCCACAAACTCAAACATGAGTTAAGGTGAGTATATATACTCTGTGTATGGCAATAAGAGGAGCCTCTCATAGATACTCGGCACTCAAGTTATATATACCCATTATACCCTGTCGGAGGTTATCAGGAGTGATGCAGATAAGAAAGGGCAGGATACAGAACTAAGCTGTTCTTTAGTTGTGCTTAGAAGGATCACGATCCTGGAAGCCAAAGTTCATAACTTTGATTAATAAAAATATTAGAAGAAGTCATGCGGAGGAAGGCTTTATTGTTTAAGTAGTTTCTAGTTTTTAGTCAATAATTTAAAGTAATTCCCTGGAATTACCTTATAGTTAAGTTTCCTATTTTATGTCATTCTTTTAAACGTGTCTAGGTAGTCATCTAAAAGAACTAAAGGTTGTTTCCTAATAGGGTTAGCTTGAGCCTATAAATATTGTAGCTCGTTTGAGCATTAGAATTCAGTTGATCAGATTAATATTCCTGCTAGTTTTTGCTTGCAACAGCAGCTGTGTAATGCAACTTCTTCTTTGGGTGTGATGCCTAGGAATCCTGCAGTGTGATGCCAAAGGGCCCTAGGTTTTGTTATCGTTTCCTACCGTTTTGTTCCTGTTTCCCTGGGATTTCCACCTTGTTTTCCTACAGAATTCTTTTAATGTTTCCGCTGCGTTCTACCCTTTAATCAGCCTACAGCCTGATTTTCTTAACCACCACATTGACTCCATCAAGGAGCCTCTCATAGGTTCTTAAAACTCCAGTTTGCAGATAGGGTTATATATACTCTATGAATGGACGATAAGAGCATATTGCCGTCCAGGATAGCTAATCGGAATGAAATGGGCACTCTTTAAATGACATTGACCACATCAACCATAATCAAATGTAACACTAGTAATCAGAAGACTGAGATAAATAGCTAGATATGCAACCTTGCTTCAATATAGTAATGCATGCAAATACCAACAGATAGCAATAATTCTGTATCACTCTGACATGGCAATACTCTCAGAAAAGAACATTTGCACCCAGAATATTCATCCGTTTTTAACCTAGTTGCACTGCTTACCATCTCTCCATGCAAGGCACACAATATTTTTTTGTCTTGCATTTAGTACACCAAACAACCCTCCCTTTGTCATTTCTGTGACACTGGTGGCAATTGGACAATGAGTTTCCCTGCCAAATAAGATTAGAGTTAAAATGACACCATGACCAAGAAGTTAAAGATCTGACCATCAGAGAATTGCGCTTAAAACAAGTTAAGTATTGAGCAGAAATCTTACATTTTTGCTCGCTAATCTTTTCCGTTGGATAGCTTCCTCTTTCTTTACTGCCTTTTTCCTAAGAGTACGGCTACTGCAATTTTTCCTATCTTGCACCTCCCCCTCTTCCTGTTCCCTCTCCTTTCCATAAAAGAACTCGCCATCTACCCCATCATTCTCATGTTGTTCCCCAAAACCTTTTGATGGCTTTCTTCCACGCGTTTTCTTAGTTTTATTCTCACTTATGTCTTTATTCACCTTGGATTCACCAGCACTTTCTTTAAATCGATCTTCTTCCTTATCATGCTTTTCTAAACTTTTCGACGGCTTTCTCCCTCGCCTCTTCTTCTTAGATTCACTACCAACATCCCTCTCAATCACCTCAGACTCACAACAAGAAGCTTCATTTCCAACCTCCTGACAGCGCTTTCTCTTTCTTAAGTTCACTTCCTCATCCTTAACCGTAGATTGGGCATTCTCCTCCACTGCCCCTTCTACTCCTCCCATGCAATCCAAGCTCAAATCTTTAGCCTTTGCCATCTCCTCCACCTCTCTAGCCAACTCACCATCTCTTGATGCATTATTTAGATCACTTTCCACCTCAGGATTCTCAATTTCCACAGTTTCCTCTTCTTTATATTTCAATCTCGGCCTCCCTCTCTTCTTCTTTTCCCCTGCCGGTTTTGGTTGGGTCACTTTCTCATTGTCCTCCTCCTTTCCCTCCTCCGTATAGATCAATCTTGGCCTCCCTCTCCTCCTCTTCTCGCCCGCCAGTTTTGGTTGGGTCACTTTCTCATTTTCCTCCTTTCCCACCTCTTTGCTGCTCAATCTTGGCCTCCCTCTCTCCTCCTTTCCAGCAGCCAGTTTTGGTTGGGTCACTTTCTCATTTTCGTCCTTTCCCTCCTCTTTGCTGTTCAATCTTGGCCTCCCTCTCCTCTTCTTTCCGCCGGCCGGTTTTGGTTGGGTCAGAGTCTCATTTTCCTCCCCCTTTTCCTCCTCTTTGCTGTTCAATCTTGGCCTCCCTCTCCTCTTCTTTCCGCCGGCCGGTTCTGGTTGGGCCAGGTTCTCATTTTCCTCCCCCTTTTCCTCCTCTTTGCTGTTCAATCTTGGCCCCCCTCTCCTCTTCTTTCCGCCGGCCGGTTTTGGTTGGGTCAGAGTCTCATTTTCCACCTCCTTTACCTCCTCTTTGCTGTTCAATCTTGGCCTCCCCCGCCTCTTCTTTCCGCCGGTCGGTTTTGGTTGGGTCAGATTCTCATTTTCCACCTCCTTTACCTCCTCTTTACTGTTCAATCTTGGCCTCCCTCTCCTCTTCTTTCCGACCACCGGTGCTTGCTGGGTTGCTTTCTCTTTTACCTCACTCTTCTTTGGCCGACCTCTCTTTTTCTTCATCTTCCCCTCCTCCTCAACAGACTTCATAGCTGCCGTGATCAATTTTCCTTCAATCCACTGATGCGACGCCGTTTAAGCTGACTTAGCACTCGAACGCCTCTTGCCCCTGAAGCTAAGCTCCTCCGATTCTGCCACTCCGCCGCCCAAGAAAGCAGAAGGCTCCGGCGAAGAATTCAGAGATTTCACGTCATCCTCTCTTTCTTTCCTTTTTTGAATTTGTAACGTTTTTTTTGTTTTCCCGTTTTGGCCTTTTGTGGGGAAATGGCTCGGCTAGGGTTTTAAAATTCAGGGTGGCAGTGGGCGGGGGGTTGAAATGTCCCGCCCTTTCGGTTCGGTCACTCTAGCGGGAAAACCTTATTAAATTTCTGGTGTTTAAAAGAGAAAATTTGAAATGTCTAGAATTAAACTCTAATTCTAAAACCTTAGGCTTTGTTTGTTAGGTTTTTTTTATAGTAATTTCAAAATATTTAAATAATAACGGTTCCATTTTAACATATTTTTTAATATTTTTAATACATCTTTTTACATTCTCAATACAAAAAACACTTAAAAACACACATTAAAAAAACGAAACAAACATACCCTAAATATCGTAAGATTAATTGTTCCCAACCTCCGAAAAAGAGAAAATTAGTCCTAAATCTTTCAGGACAAGTTCAGTTTAGTTGGAAAGTATTTTGAATTGTCTAATGTCATCCTGAAATCTCGTAGATATGTTTCATATTTTTAGCGATAAATAATAGAATTTCTGGAATTCAATTTGGTCAACCAGAGCACTTCCCGTTTTTAGACTAAAACGAAGTGTCCATAAAATTTTGTAAAGGACTTTCAGTTTGGTTCATTTTTCATTAGGTTTTTTCAAACCAAAAATTTTAATAATTGTGATATTTTGGCATACTTTTTTTGTTTGGTTCATTTTTCTATCAAGGATGTTGACCTATATACCATTGCCAATACTCAAGTTTATTTAGTTAGAGAGCCAAAACTGGGGGGAGGGGGGAGGAGGGGGTGAAATGTAGCTCGCCCCATAATATATTCTCCAACCTTCAACAAAACTTACTTGCATTGGTATACAACTATGAACTCCACATTATTTGCATTTAATTGAAAGGGTCATTCTGATTTCTTGAAAACTTTGGATAGTGAAATACTGAAATATAAATTGTACTTATTAGTCATTTTAGTTCCAAATTTCATAACTAATGATAAATCGGAAATGATAATGACCAAGTCAAACGCCAAAAATTTCCTAATTTGTTTGCAAAAGGATGAAATTGGCTAATGTGTGATACTTTGGAATGATATTGGAGACTTTACAAAACTTTTGGACTAAATTGAAGTAGGACTCAAAGTTTAGGACTAATTTGACACTTTTTCCCTAAAGCCTCATGTATGATAGCGCCTTTGTGTTTTGTTTCGCTTTTTTTTTTTTTAAGACTTGAAATTTGGTTTAAAACAAGTGCTTGATGTAAGTGAGATGTTGTACAGAATATACTCCCTATGTCTTGAGATGATTATCCAAACTGTATAATGATTCTAAGATAGAAAGGATGGTATTTCAAATAATAAAATAAAGGACAAATTCGGATTAGGAAAAAGGGCGCATAATTAATTTTTAAAAAAAGGTTTTATTTTCAAATAGTTTGTATTAAAAGCATTATTACTTACCTTCCAAACATGATTTTAACTCTTGAAATAAAACTCCTTTATTTTTTAATCTTCATTTCATTTCTCAACACATAAATGAATGTTCCTTTAAGTTAATATACATTATCATATTTTAACCTTCCTATGGAAAAGTAAAAAACTTGCATGATAGAAAGATGTTATTATATCAGTTTAAAAATTAGTGGTTAATTTTTCCTAATTTAATAAGGAGTTTTTTTTTTTTTTTTGGTAAAAGGTTGAAATATATTAACTTCTCGTCAACTTGCAAAATTACATCTTGTCACTGCTTTTACATTCTCAAAACAACATTAAAAACTCTGAATCATATTTTAAAACCTATGCTTTCCATAAACAATTTTTCACTCTGTCTATACTTCCTGCAATAAGCTGAAATCCGTCATTTCGTTTCTTGCTTGATCTTCTCAACCACTATTTCGACTTCCAATAGCTTCCCACCATGCTGAACTTCATTTCTAATCCTCCATACATGATATACAACAACAACTAATACACCGATCAGTACCCTTTGTTTGAATTTGTTCTGCTTCCAAATATTCTACATTTTCCTCTTCCATACACAGATCCTTTCCAGTACTTTTTTGCAATCTAGCCACTGTTTCAATTCATGCAACAAAGTTCATGGAAACTGACACTGAAAGAACATATGGTCCAAGCTTTCTTCCTCAATCATACAAAGTACACAAAGCAGAGATTGATCAATGTTCCTCAGTTTTTGCAATCTCCATGAAGTGTCACCTCTCCTTCATCACAAGCCAAAGAAGGAAGCTATGCTTTGGAACATTGTACTTGTTCCATATCCAAGTTGCCTCCTTGATTTTCAGTCCTTCTCCCCGAAACCATTCATAACTAGCCTTTACAAAGTAGCTACTGATCTTCGATTCTAACCATTTCCCTCACAACATACCATCTTTAATTTTCTCCTTAACTTTTATCAGCTTCCTCCAATACCAGCAAACACCCTGAGGAGGACTATAATCCCAAATATTCTGTTCTTCTTCAGAATACTCATAGTACCATTGATATGCTAATATTTTACCTATTTATTATATCCCTAATTTGTGATTTTTGCAATATATTTTGAGTAAAAATATACTATTTATATGATTTTATCTTTATTTGTAGGAATTGTACTCAAATGGAGGAATTGTTGAAGTTTTGCGCTAAAATGAAGATAAGAGCAACTCGAAGGGTAGAATTGAAGATTTGAATAATGATTAGGAAGAAATTGAAGCACTTGAAGATTTGGAGGACTAAATAAGCAATTTCAGAATTTTGAATTTGAATTGGGTGAATTGTGCTTGCCGAAGAAGATGGTTTCCGAATTGATTTCGGTGGCCAAATAAAATCATCCGGAGGAGTTTTAATTCCAAATGACTTGAAAGAAATAGAGTTTCCTTATTCCCGAAGAAATAGGGTTTGACGGAAGGTTATAAAAGAAGGATTAGGGTTTTATTTTTGGAACCGAACTTGACCAGAAAGAAAACCCTACGTCTTTCACCTTCACCGTTCTTTCCCCGTCGTCCTTCACCGTCTCTTGCTGCTGCAACTCCCTCCGCCACTCCACCTTGACCTCACGCAACACCACCTTGCTCATCATCATCAACTCTCCATCACCGAAGCCACCTTTAGCATCACCATCACTCTTTTCTCCCCCTCACGCAGATCAACAACCTTAATCATCAACTCACCACCACAGCAACCAAGCTACCACCCTGCTTCCCACCTCATCATCCACGCACCACCTTCATCGGCAGCATCATCACACCTTGCTTCCTCTTCATCATCCACGCACATCAGCCTCCACTCCCATCATCACCGAAGCAGCCCGAGTCCAACCTCCTTCATGCGTACAACTCCATCACCACCTTCCTGCCTTCACGTGTGCAGCAACCGAGAAGAACCAAGCAGCAACCGTGGACTTCGAGTCTTCAATTCGGCAGCCTTATTCTATTCTCGGGTTTTGGAGTTTTATTTATTTAATTCAAATTTTTAGGATTATGTGTCTAAATATTATTGAATTATTTTTGATAATTTTTAGTGGTTAAATTCTTTTAACCTAGGGCTTGGGTGTAGCCACCGAATTTATTTGGTTTATTTGGTTCATTATTATTTGATTTTTTCCATTAATTAATATTTGTTATTCTTGTTTTAATCCGTGTAAGTAACTAGCCACTATTTACATGCTGAAGATACTAATCGAAGTAGCGAGAGTGGAAGATTAGTATTAGTTCGTAGGAATAATAAACTTAGGTTGTAAGCTACGAGAGTAAGATTATAACCTTTGCAATATTTAATTCTTAATGGTCTTAATGTGCTTTTGTTTAATCCCTATAGTCACGAGAGTAGTCATAGGGTTAATCTAAGTAAGAGAATTATAACACGAGAGTGTATAGTTCTTAATTAGGTGAGTCGTTGTGAGATTAATGGAAGTTAAAAGTCGGATATTTATGAATTGAACCAAACCAAATATTCGATAGGTGAACCCAATGTGCTAGGTTTTCTTTGTCTAATTATTTGAATTAATATTATTTACTTTTATTTTATTTATTTATTTTAATTTTAAATTTTATAAATCTGAGATCATTTTTTATCTAGATAATAATAGGAGTAATTTATACCTGGTAATTAGTATTCTTTCTCTGTGGGGTACGACCCTATTTTCCGCCTATACTAGTGTTAAGTAGGTGAATTTATTTGACTAGTTCTGACGACGGCTTGTCAAATTTGGCTCCGTTGCCGGGGAAGGCAGCTAATATTGAATTTAGATTACTTTCTTTCATTAGTTTAGATTTGTTTTTTTTATTTTATTTATTTTATTGTCTTGCTATTTTATTTCTTTTAAATATTTTTGTCTTATTTTTATATGCGAATTGCTAATTCTGAGACTTTGCAATTTGATCCATAGATAGAAAAAACAGCTCGTGCAAATAGAAAAGAAGCAAGGCTAAGAAAGGAGAAGAATCAGAGTGAAATCATGGGCGATAGAGTAAACACTCGGACACTGAGGGATTACTTCACACCTACTGAGAATGTTGCTAGACCTCCCATTGCTGCGAATACCTTTGAGCTCAAGCCAGCATTGATCCAGATGGTGCAGCAGAATCAATCCTCCGGTTTTAACAATGAAGATCCAAATGCGCATATTGACAACTTTTTAGAGATCTGTGATACTGTTAAGATAAATGGTGTGACGTCAGATGCAATTCGGCTGAGACTTTTCCCTTTTTCATTGAGGGGAGAAGCGAAGAATTGGTTGAATACTTGCAATCCTGGTTCCATCACAACTTGGGATGAGCTTTATAAGAAATTCCTGATCAATTTCTTCCCACCAGATAAGG